GACCCCTACCCTACTAGTCGTGTCCCCCGACCCCTACGTGCCCCCTCCCCCCCCCCCCTCCCCCCGGCTTGCGCCTCCCCCCCTCCCCGCTGCCCGCCCACCTATCACCAACGGAATCGTCATCGATCATCATCGCTGTGATGCCTCACATGATCTAAATCTCCTCTCCATCCCCCCCCCCTCCTTCCCCCCTTCCTCCCGGTCCTCCTGGTCCTCCCGGTCCTCCCCCTCTCAAGTCCGTCGTCGCACCACCGCCACCTGTTCCGCGCGCCTTCACCCCCCCCCTCACCCCCTCACCCCCCCCCTCCCCTATTGCCCACGGTACCCACACCTCACCCACACTCGCCACACCCACAACTACCACACATTACACACGTTCTGGACCAAGAGCATGTCGTCGCGACGGAGCTCGAACGCGTCGGGCAAGTCGGGCAAGTCGGGCAGGTCGGGCTTGCTCTCGCCGTCGGTAGTGGGCGGAGCAAGCGGGATGGGATCGAGGAGTTCTTTCGGAGGAAGCCAGTCGGCTGCATCGTCGTTGGCGATGGCTCTGACGGACGATCAGCTGGCACAGTTTGAAGACGCGTTCTCACTCATGGCCGACGCAAAGTCCAACGTCATCACCCACGATGGCTTGGCCTCGGTCTTTGACATGCTCGGCCTCGGCGCCAATGATGACGACATCGAGAACATGCTCAACGAGGTGGAGCCGTCAGGCTCGCAGCAACTCTCTTTTGATCAGTTCCTCACAATCATGTCCCGCTCGCTCGAGGACAAGAGCTCTGACGACATCCTCTACGCCTCCTTCCAGGTCTTTGACGTCGACGACTCGGGCACCATCAACCTCCAAGAGTTCCGTGGAGTGCTGGAGATGCTCGGCCAGCAGCTGACCGATGAAGAGTACATCCAGATCATCCGTGGCGCTGACACCGATGCCGACGGCACCATCGACTTTGAAGAGTACAAGCAGATGCTGAGTCAGGGCTGATCCGTCTCCTCGATCTCTCTCGCCCTCCTGTCCCCGCATGTGAACTCCAGCTGTTGCTGTCCGGCAGCCTGGAATCCATCAGATGGTTGAGTCTTTGCTCCCGTCCCAAGCGCCGCACTAGCTGTATCCGCCATGCCTGGTCCGCCGCCCAATGAGTCCATCTTCCTTCCCACGCCACCACCCTGCCACGCCACCACCCCGCCACGCCACCACCACGCCACGCCACTAACCCACCGATCCTCTCCCCGCTAACCGATCTCCCCTCTTCACTAAAGTCCGTACCTCACACGCCACCGGGTTGCCATCCCGTCCGCCTATCGCCTCTCGCCTCTCGCCTCTCGCCTGTCGCCTGTCGCCTGCCCCCCCCTCCCCCCCCTCCTCCTCCTCCACCACCTCGCTCCCACTCGCACAACACCTCACTCCACCCTCACCCCCCACCGCCCCTCCATGCCACCCACCATACAGACCCTCCTCCGGGTCATCCTCTTTGCTGCTGTCTCTGTGGCTGCTTACATGGCCATGAGCCAGACGGCGTCGTCAACGTCACCCACCAACCCTCCATCGCATCATCCGTCGCCCATGTCACACGCAAGACCTCATCCCATCCCGCCACCGGCACCCCCGCCACCATCGCCGCCATCGCCGCCATCCCCGCCATCCCCGCCATCGCCGCCATCGCCACCTCCTTTTCCGCCTCCGATCCACAACTACGTCGACGAGTTCAAGCTGCGGTTCCCTGCCGAGACCGAGGTATGGTCTCCGTCGTGGCGAGAGGTGCCTGCTCGGGCCATGGACGGCGGTCTGGCGGGTGATGATCATCGGGTGGAGGTGTGCATGCTGAATGAGTCGTGGACACACTGGCCGAGGTCGGCGCCCGAGCTGACTCGGCTGCCGGCGTGGTGCCGTGGTGGCTATTCCGATCCGGATCATCCCATGTGCTACTACATGCAGGGCTACGACGACATCTGCGCTCCCAGCTGGGTCATCATCGGTACGCTCAAGTCAGGCTCGACCTCGATGTACTCGTACCTGACCAAGCACCCGCAGGTTGAAGTCCGCGGGCCGATGCACGATAAGGCCAACGACGAGAGTGAGAACAAGGGCGCTCGCGGCGGCGGCGGCGGTCGCAAGGTCAAGCCGGTCAAGTTCAAAGAGGTCGGCTACTTTAGCCGGCCAGTCCTCAAGCCGCGGCACAAGCAGTACCTCTCGTTCTTTCCACGCATTTCGCCCACTGATGGGCGCTGCACCGGGGAGGGCACCGTCGGCTACTTTGCCGCGCCATGGGCGCCATACAACCTGCGCCGGCTGCTGCCCAATGCCAAGCTCATTCTCCTCCTCCGCAACCCGATCGACCGCTCGTACTCGCGCATCCACCACATTTTCCAGCTTTTCATGTCGCGAAAGACCCCAGAGCCGCGCAAGCCGGACGACGACAGCCCGCCGCCGCCGCCGCCAGCCTCGCCCATGTACGGCTTTGTCAAGGACAAGGCCGCGTTCATCGACGCCGCCACCTCAGTCGTCTTTGACATGGTTGCCAACGCCACCATGACCATCGTTCAGGACTGCCTTGCCGATGCCGCTCACCTCTCGTACTTTCACCTACGCGAGTGCTGGATGCACAAGCATGGCAGTGCGATGGGCGAGGTGACGTCCGCGCTCATCGAGCGGGTTAAGAAGGCTCAGGACCGCGAGGCCGGGCCCGAGGTCGAGCGGCCGATCACCCGCGCCGCCGTAGCCGACGCCATCGCCCGCGGCACGCCTATGCTCGAGGCCATCCTGCCGGCCATCAACAATGCGTTCAACGTCAAGACGCTCCAGCACTCGGTCTACTATCCGCAGCTCACCCATTGGCTCAAGGCCTTTCCCCGCCACCAACTGCTTGTCCTCCGCTCCGAGGCCTTCTATGCAGACACGTTCGCTACCATGGACCGTGTCACCGCCTTCCTCGGCCTCACACCGGTTGACTGGTCGCAGCTCATCTCGGGCGTCAAGTTCAACGTCCTCCGCGACGACTCGGGCATTATCACACTGGTGCAAGAGCCGGCAAAGGCCTCTTCATACAACGTCACGGCAAGCGTGCGCCAGCGGCTCGCCAATTTCTTTCGTCCGTACAACGCCATGCTCGCCGAACTGGTCGGCGACCCGGCCATGGCCGAGTGGGAGTAGCCACAGAAGCAAGGTCATGTCTCACGCAATGACAGCCTTGACGTACGAGTCACTGCGGATGAGGATGCCCCGCCGCTCGAGCTTGGTCACGTCGCTTGCCACAAGCAAGTCGTACAGCGAGTTGTCGAGGAGCACGTCGCCGACCTGGGCGCACTCCTCACCAAGATACCCGGCGGCGTCGGCGGCGGCGCCCACAGCATCACCCTCGGCTGCGAGCCGGAGAAACTGGCCGTGGGCCATGCCGATGCCGAGCCGGATCTTGTCATGAGTGGCTGTCTGACGCGCGTTGTACTCTTGCAGCGTGTCCATCATGTCGAGACAGGCGGCGACAGCGGCGTGTGGCGAGAAAAGACCGCCTTGAAATCGTCGCCTTGAGTCTGCAGGATGTCGCCGCCGTGCCGCCCAAAGATCGGTCGGAGTAGCGCCTGCATCTTGTAGATGAGCGAGAGAAAGTGGACAATGCCATGCGCCTTGACCGTTGCGGTAAAGCCCGACATGTCCGAGACAAACACCACTCCAGTCTCTTCGTACAGCTCGTGGACGTCGGACCGGATCTCGGCACGAGTCGCAGCCTCGCTACTCGCTAGATACGCACGGCACATGCTGCGAATCTCCGAGACCGGGCGGTTGTCGCCACTCTTGCTCTCGCCACGCGCTGCAGCCTTTGGCGCGCGCATGGCACCGATGCGCTCGGCCGACGCCTCCCAGTCGACCACGTGGTACTTGATCTTGACCTTGGAGACCTTGGTCGACTTGGCATGGGTGTGGGTCTTGAGTAGCAATTGTGGGACGACTGCGGCTGTCACGTCGGCACTCAGCAGAAGCGAGCCGTCCGAGCCCAGCTCCTCAGCGAGCTTGGAGGCCACGTTGACAGCATCGCCGTAGATGTCCGAGGGGAGAACGAGGCACTTGCCGCAAGTGATGCCCAAGCTCACAGCAATGCAATCTTCGCCAAGCTCAAGCCGCGCGTTGCGCTCGCGGATGTGTGCCATGGCGCGGACCGCAAACGACACCGCGCCCGCCGGGTGCTGGAAGGCCACAAAGACGAGACCAGCCTCAGCCTTGATCACCCGCCCGCCGTGCGCTGTAGCGGTCGCCGCCATCAGCTCGCGCATGGCAAAGACCAGCGCAAGCGCATGAACCGGGCCATGCGCCCGATTGATTTCTGCGAGACCGACCATGCGAACAAGGACCACCGCAACCTGGCTCTCGTGTTGCTTGGCAATGGTCTCCTCAACCCGCCGAACGCCGCTGCTATCACCGCGAGCAAGCGCCTCCAGCCGCCGCAAGCACAACGCCTCCAGCTCGCCCTCCTCATCCTTCTCCACCTCGGGCATAGCGCCATTCCCATCCACAGCCCAGTACATGCCATCCGGTCCACGACGGACCAGCGGCGGCGGCGACTCTGCCGAGCTGAGGTGATGACCCAGCCAATCCTGATCCCCATCACCACCGCGGTTGCCATCGACAGGGGCATGACCATGGTTGTCCCCATGGTCTTTCCCATCGTCACCGTCATCGCCATCGTCGCCATCGTCGCCATCGTCGCCATCGTCGCTACCGTTGTCGTCATCGTCATCGTCATCGTCATCGTCATCGTACTCGGACTCGTCCCACCTCTTCCCGCCCGACTCGGCCGAGACCGCATGCATGGCACCGTCGTCGCCAGGGGCTACCCCTGCAGGCTCGCTAGCCACGCGACCTTCTTTGGAGGAGCAGCAACCCATGGGTGGGTGGGGGTGGATGTGAGAGTGAGGTGCAGTGGGAGGTGGCCGAGGTGGCCGAGGTGGCCGGTTGGTGAGCGTAGTCGCAACGGACACTCGAGGTGGCAGACGGTCGGGGCAGGTGGTGGGGGAGACGGCGCGGCGGTTCAGCCGCTTTACGGTACGGAATACGGAATGGACATCTTTGTCCATCGCGCAAGCCGCGGCGCTCCGCGACGCTCCGCAGTCGTCGCAAAGTCCGTGGATTGTTGTAAAAGAGTAGTACAATGTGTTGATGGCTGCTGTGGCCACTGGTGGGCTGCAACAGAAAACAGTCGGCGATGCAGAGATGGACGCCGCACGCGGCGCAAAAGGTCCGCCGTCGCGATCGCTTACCATGAAGCTTCCGGAAGGCGAGGCAATCACATCGCAGAGCGGCTTGCTGGGGAGTGTGGCGATGATGACGAGCAGCCGCTGCAGAGGTGCGCTTCCGCTTGCGCGGCGGCGCGGAGCTGGAGGCGTCGGCGCTGGCGGCGAGCGCGTCGATGATAGCCACACGAGTCAAGGCGGGGCGTGGGCTCGTGTCGGCGTAGAGCGCGTACGCGTTGATGAGCGCGGCGTCCAAAATCCAGTACAGGATGGCGTGCCACCACTTGCGCAGCCACGCCGACCGGCAAGCTCGTCCGTCGCAAGAAGATCCACAACTGATGCTCTCCTTGTCCAACTCTGTCATGCTCTCCTTCCCGGTCGTCGGGGTCGTCAAAAACAAGCTCCACACCGTCCGCGCCCTCCTCCCGGATCGGCGCCGTACGGCACCTCGCGCGCCTCGCCCATGCTCCCAGGTCGGGCATCCTTCAGGCGGACGCCTGCGTGTCGGCCGCCATGATCGAGTTGTTCAATTTGAGACGTGCGACAACGCGTCCGAACGACCGTACCGCTAACGGCTAGTGAGTGTTTGGGCGGCTACGACGACGACTCGCGCCAAATGTCGGCTTGAGCGCCGGACCACTTGCGCTCGACGTCGTCAAAGGCGGTAGCGACTTCGCCGCCCCAGATCTCGTGCATGTCGTGGAAGTAGTACATCTCCTGGGCGAGCGAGTAGCGGGCGAACTCGACGGCGACGCCAAGGTCGATGACGGCCATCGAGTCGTTGGTGATGGCGCTGCGGAGCTTTTGCGGGCCAGTCTTGCCGCGGGCCTCCATGGAGGCGAGCTTGGCCTTGTTGGTCTCGAGGCGAGCGTTGACGTTGGCTTTGTCCTTCATCGGGGCGCGCGCAGCCTCAAAGGCCTTGAGCAGGCCGATGCAAAGCTGGTAGTGCTTCCACACGGCGTCGAGGACGCGGGTAAGCTCGTCCTGGGCGTGGTCAGTGAGCGCGGTAGTGAGCTCGCCGAGCATGCCGGCGGTGGTGGAGAGCGACGAGTTGAAAGGGATCGAGTCAAAGTCGGTCCGCTGCGTTGCTCGCGACGAGAGCGCGCCGCCGAGGGCGGCAAAGCCGGCGGCCAGCCCGTTGCGGTGGTCGACAATGTCAGTGAGCGCGTTGAGCTGGGCCTCGACATTGGAGGCGAGGATGGCCACCTCGGACTCGGCAGCCGAGAGCGCCGTGTCCGCGTCGTCGGCCACAAACGACGAGCCGGTCTGCCGGCAGGGATGGAAGTCCTTCTCGGTGTCCATGACCTTGAACAGCTTGCGCTGCTTCTCAAACCGCTTGGTGTCGAGCTCGCAGAGGAAGAGCCGCATCAGCGGAGCACCCTCGCCCTGCTGGAAAATGGGCCGCCGGAGCACGAGCTCCATAAACACTTCCAGCCGCCGGCACCGCTCGGCCACAAACTCCTCCTCGAACTTGCCCATTGCCTTCTTCTTGGGCAGCATCGGCACAATCCGGTACGGGAAGATGGTGAGCAGCTGCTCGTAGAACCAGAAAAGTCCGAGTACCGCCGCTCCACCGTGTGCGCCTTGGACTTGACCGTCAGCGAGTACACCGTGTGCTTCTTGAGCTTTCCAGCCTGCAGCTGCTGGACCTCGACCTTGACGTCGTCCGGCGCAAACACCGCCTTGTACGTCGACTCATCCGGCAGGTTGTGTCCGTACACTCGCGCCCTCGCACCCTCGCGCGACGCCGCCATCGCCGATGACGACGCCCCGCCGTCAAACTCGGGCGGTGGCACCTTCTCCGCGCCCACGCGGTCAAGCTCGTCCATATCCGGCTCGCGGCCCTGCTGCGAGAGCGAGCAGAGCTTGAGCGCGTTGACCACGGACCGCCGGTTGAGCCGAGAGCACCCGGCCTCGCGCCAGACCTGCGCCAGCGTCCCGCGTGTGATCCCAGTCGATTTGAGCAGATCCGTGAAGAGGTCGGCATCAACCCGCCCGCGCGACGTCACCGACTCGAACAGGTCATCGTACTCGTCCTCGTAGTCGACCGAGAAAATAAGCTCCGTGCGCCGCGTTGCACGCTCGCGCGACCGCGAAATGACGTCATCAAGCCGAGTCCGGGAATGAGACCGCGACCGCGACCGTGACCGCGATCGGGACCGCGACCGTGACCGCGACCGACCGCGATCCCGCCGCGCCGACCGCGACCGTGACCGCGACCGCGATCGTGACCGTGACCGTGACCGCGACCGCTCCTCGCCGTTGAGCCGTGGCAGCGGAATGTCGCCCGGGCGCGAGTGCTTGCGGAGCGTTGAGAGCGAGGCTGGCGGCGAGCGCTGCTCGAGTGCGATGAGCCGCAGGAGAGTGAAGAACCGCGAGCGGTCGTTGATGCCATCACCCTTGGTGTCTGACGCCGCCCACAGCTTCTTGAGTCGGGCCTTGGAGACGTTGGCGACGTCAAGAAAGTACTTGCCCAGCGCACGGTTCGAGACGGTCCCATCCGTGCCGGCCATGTCATCAAACAGCGCCTGGTAGGCGGCCGAATGGCGACCGAGCTCGGGATCGGACTCCTCGTCAGAAAAGAAAGGATCGTCCGGGCCGTCGCCGCGGCGAGAGCGCTCTCTTGCGGCGCGGCCGTTTGCCTTTGCCACCAAGTTTGTGCGGTCGGCCGAGTCAAAGGCGGTGGCGCGAGGCCTTCCATCTCCCTCACCGACATGTCGTCGAGCCGATGGAGAGAGGCCTCATCGCCAGCTTGAGCGAGGGCAATGAGGCGAAGAGCGAGGACAAAGCGCCGAGCCGGAATCGACTCTGCTGCGGCAGCCTCCTTCCACAGCGCACGCATGTCACTCCGCGAGAGCGAAGAAACATCATCCAGCAACTTGCCGACCTCTGCCATGGCCGTAGCTGCCTTTTCCAGCTCTGCCACCGGCGCAGACGGCGAGAGCGACTTGCTCTCGCTCCCTCCCACAGACTCCAGTAGAGCCACATAGGCATGGTGATACTTGGACGACGGGTAGAACCGTCCTCCAGGTCCAGATGAGGCCATTCTCCGTCAGTAGAGGTGAGTGAGTGAGTGAGTGTGGAGAGAGAGAGGAGGGGTGGTCAAGTCACGTGTGTAACCGGTGTGGTTGCGGTGCGTGTGTGCGGTGCGGTGGCTGCCGACGGCTCGCTTTCGCGTGACTGACCGACGACCGGCAACCGACGACCGGTAACTGACGACCGGCAGCCGACGACTGATGGTGGTCACTGGCTTGCTAGCAGCACACGATTCAGATTGGGCAACCGATAGCTGAATTTAACTTGCAATCGGCGACTGATGATGTTGAGTTGAGTGCGGTTGCTGGTGTGAGATTGGGGATGGATGGGCGTGTATCCTCCGGCCCGGCCCGTCATTGTATCGGCACGCTGTGCGCAATATGGCTGCACGCATGCTACTCGGCGGGTTGGGGGTACACCGTTGGATGAGGTAGCTACTTGCGGCAGCTGATCGCAGTTACTACTTGCGGCGGAGGAAGGTGTAGGTGAGGAGGCCGAGCGCGCCGAGGACAGTGACGCCGCCGGCGACAAACCACATCTGATCGGCCCAGGGCGTGGGCGGACGCGGTGCAGAGGCCGATGCAGACTGTTGGGTGACGCCGGGGAGGCACGGCGCGTCGAGGTCCGGAACCGGGATTGCGCCAGGATCGTCCTCGTCAAAGAGGACGAGGACCTCGGAGAACGAGGTGTCGTCGAACACGTTCTGGGCAAGGTTTGCCGGCGAGACGCCCGCGTTGTCGGCAAGGTCCTTTCGAGCGCCGGCGCGAAGGAGGAGAGCAGCGAGGACCGGCGAGTCCATCTGCGCCGCGTACCAGAGCGCGGTCCGTCCGTGGATGTCGCTGGCGTTGACGTCGGCGCCGGCGCGGAGCAGCGATTCGACGATCCGCGGCGCGAGGCCTTGGGTGGCGAGAATGACTGCCGTAGCCCCAGACGCGTCGAGTGACGACGCCCGCGCCTCGAGCGAGTAGCCACAGTCGATGTAGGCCTGGACGCCGTCGATGTTGCCGGCCTGCACGTCGGCGATGAACGCGGCCTCGGACTGCTTCATGCGGTCGTCGTGCGGCGAGTCGCCAAACTTGGCCAGCTTCTCCTTGGCCTTTTGCAGCAGCCGCGCCACGTCCTTGGACGGCGATGCCGACCCTGTCGCACCGTGGAGAGCGATGGCCTGCTCAAAGGCGGTCACCGCCTCGGCGTACCGCTCCATCCGCAGCAGGGCCTGTCCAGCGCGCACATGCGGGCGGTACCACTCTGACCGCAGCTCGGCCGCGCGCTTGGCGTCATCCAGCGCATCCTCGAGATGGTTTGTCTTCAGATTGCACATCGATCGGTTCGAGTACAGCACCGCCGCTTCGTCATTGATCTGGATTGCTATCTCAGAAAGGCCACGGGTGAGTCTGCAAACCGTAAATCCTCCCAGAGGAGAGCAACGTATCGCCTCAAGCGCATCACTAGCTTCAGGCGAGGGCCGTGCATGTTGATAGGCGTGTGGTGAAGCGAGCTGATACCGGCTGCGTGACAACGCTTCAACTTGGGCTGAGCGAGTTGCGCCAGCGGGCGACCGATGGCCGGCGTGGGCAAGGGCTGGCGATGGAGAGGAGGTTATGGATATGACGTACCTTCTGTGTACAGCTTCTTTGCTTCATAGTACTTGCCCTGCACATACAGCTCGCCAGCCTCGGTCTTGAGGCGGAGCGCGTCCCCGGTGAGGTCGGCGTCCAGCGGACGAGCCGTGGATGGGCTACGCGACGGCGACGGCATGTTGGTTAGTCGAGTGGTGGGCGCTGCGATTGGTGCTGGCGGCTCAATTGCGGGGCCCTCGCGAGCATAGCGTCCATCGTCAAGCCTGGTGTGGGTAGCAGGCTGTGATGAACGATGTGGCTCAGATGGGGTCATGATCGGGTGGGAATCGGTGGGTAAGGCCGGCAAGGGAGCACCTGGTGGTCACGATCCGGCCGAGTGGAGGTGGCTGGCTGGTCTAGACAAGCGCGTGCCAACAGGGTCGACATGGCAGTCCATGCTGCGGATGGTGCTCGCTGGGACGCGCCCGTGCTGCTGATTTGCCACCTGCGCCGAGGGCGCGCTTAACAATCTCGATCCGGCCGTCGGCGACGATGAGACCACCGCCATCGACGCTCTCCGCCCCGATGCATCCTTGTGGTCGTCTGGAGCCGCACGGTCCGAGTAGCTCGACATGAGCAACACGTCCATCCGCGAGCTCTCCGCCTCTATTCCAATGATGTCCTCGACAATGACCTCGTCCTGATGGCAGTCAACCCGAGCGTGTGGTGAGGTAGAGTACCAAGGATCTGAAAGTTTTTCATGGAGTGTCTTTCCCATGCCGGTCATCATTGCGGCATGGTCAACAAACGGCGGTTCACTGCGTGCGGGTGACTGGGTCGGAGAGACGGGGGGAGGGGGGGGCCGTGACCAGGACCACGAGCAGAACCAATCGGACGGGGGAAGGGCACCACCTTACTCTGGTCATCCCCCTCGCCCCCTCCACCCACATACACTACCAACCACTTTCCGCTCTGTGACAAGCGTACCATACCATACCATGTCCCTCCCTGCACCGCAAGGAAGTATCTGTCTAGTGGCTGGCTCGGCCATTCCCGACTTGGCTCAGGCCATTTCTGACTACATCAATGTCCCGCTGCTCGATTGTGTGGTGGGGCGCTTCAAGTACGTGGAGTGGACGAGGAATGGCATGGGGAGAGGGAAGGGGGGGGGGGGGGGGGGGATAGTGTGGGTTGATGCTGATGAACCACCGCACACGGGCTGCATACCTGCTGATCTGGACTACCGCACACGGGCTGCATACCTGCTGATCTGGACTACCGCACACGGGCTGCATACCTGCTGATCTGGACCACCGCACACGGGCTGCATACCTGCTGATCTGGACTACCGCACACGGGCTGCATACCTGATGATCTGGACCACCGCACACGGGCTGCATACCTGCTGATCTGGACCACCGCACACGGGCTGCATACTTGCTGATCTGGACCACCGCACGGGTTGCTTATTTGTTCGGCCACGGACCAACTTCATCACCACACTCACTCGCACACCTCTCTCTCTCTCTCAGTGACGGCGAGATCAGCATCGAGATCCGCGACAACGTGCGGAACAACCACGTGTTCATCATTCAGTCGACGTGCGCCAACGTCAACGACACGACGATCGAGCTGCTGCTGATGGCGCGGACGTTCGTGCGGGCCAATGCCCAGCAGATCACCGTCGTCATCCCGTACATTGGATACTCGCGGCAAGACACTGGTGCGACAAACAACGTGGCAACGGTGGCCGGCGCCGACGTGGTCATGCTCCTGCAGGCCGCAGGTGTCACAGACATCATCTCGCTCAACTTGCATTCGGACCAGATCGGCGGCTTCTTCTCTGGCTCGGTCGACAACCTCAAGCCATGGCTTGTTTTTGTCGAGCCCATCCTGAAGCTGGCGGTGTCCGAGATGGACGATGGTGCCGCCATCACCCTCGTCGCCCCGTCGGCCAAGGCCGTCCCGCGCGTCCAGGAGGTACGTGCCAAGCTCCTCGAGGCCGGTCTCGACACCAATCTCGCTGTCATCATTCGCGACGTGACCCCGCTCCAGTCCGTGCCCGACGCCAGCCTCACGGCCGAGGCCCTCATCCAGACCAAAGCCAAGCTCTCGCGGACCATGGTGGGCGAGGAGTACGTCGTTGACGCCCACTGCATCATGATCGACGACATCGCCTTCTCTGGCAACACTCTGTTTGGCACCGTCGAGTGCCTCGACGCTGCAGGCGCGCGCTCAGTCCGCGCCTTTGTTACCCACCCAGTCTTCTCCCAGCCAACTTGCATGGCTACCATCGCCGCCCTCGACCCGCTCGTTGCCCTCTACGTCACAGACTCGATCCCGCTCTCCTCCCGCGACGACGTGCCCGACAAGGTCCACGTCGTCACCACCGCAGAGATCTTTGGCGAGGCCATCATCCGCACTTACTCCTCCGAGGTCCTCCCCAACAATATCTCGTCCCGCGACATACTCGATCTCTCCTCATCTTCACTCACCGCCTCGCCGCGCCGTCGCCGCTTTCACCTCAACCAGTGACATGACCGGCAAATGCGAGGTTTTTCACTCGTTTGCGACAGCTCCGGTTTCGGCACGTGCATCCCTTGTGGTGGAGTCGTTCCCTTCCCCCGCTCCGTCACCCCCGCACACCACACTACAAACAATAACATGGCCGCATTCCTCCGCAAGGCTGCCAGCGTCCTTGACAAGGCTGAAGATGCTATCAAGCATGTTCTAGGGAAGGATGATGAGCCGCCAAAGCAGGGTACGCTGTCTTTACCCCCCCCACACACACACACACACAAACACACACCCGGGAAGTTCTCATTTTTGCTCCACTGCAATGATCCAGCTTCACCTCCTTCTCGAACCTGTTTTTCACTGTATTTCGCAGATACGGAGGGAGTTGGCTGCTCTGAACAATTTAATATGTTGGGGACCACAAGAACTCACCCACACTTGCTGCTGCCCTCGATAGACGTCGCCCAGCCGGCACCCGGATCTCCGGCGCCACCTCCCTACACCGGGCCCCCTGGCGCATCGCCGCCTGCCGCTACTGACTCGCGGCTCACATGCTGCTCCGACGATGTGCCGGCGGATTTCAACAAGCTCGGCTCGTGCTTCTCGTGCTCGGCGTGCAAGAACGTGTACCAGGTCTCCAAGAGCCGCCGTCGGTTCCACTGCAAGGTCTGCGATGACTTTGACTTTTGCCACACCTGCATCCATCGCATCCCGCACGATACCTCCCATGGCTTTGTCATGCTGAGCCCGGACAAGGCGTACCAGCTGCCGATCGTGTACCCGCCGGCAAACTTTGTCGATATGTCTGGTGTCGACGCTGCCTCGGCCTCGGCCTCGGCCGACGAGGTGACGTCGAGCCCGGGCATGGCCGGCTTTGACGCCTTCCTTGCCTCGGTCAAGGCCGAGTCATTCTCCAGCGGCAAGATCTCCAAGATCGAGATGGTGGCCAAGAACAACATGTTCAACGCAACGCAGGCCGGCCTCCTCCTTGACGCCATGGACTTTGACAAGGACAAGATCACCGTCGCTGTTCTGCTCTACCCGCAGCTGACCAACCAGGCCAACTTTTACCAGGTCCTCGACCACCTCGACTTTTCGTCGTCCAAGGACGAGGTCCGCAACCAGCTTGGACTGTAAACAACTCACCGCCGCGTTGCAGAAAGCCGCGCATTCTCCTCGTTGAGCATCTCGACTTCGGCACACAGCCTCCGCACACGATCCTTCCACTTGCCCACAATTTGCTCGGTCCGCGACGCGAGGGCGGTCTTGATCCGATCCACCTCACGCTCGTGCCGCACTTCGCGGGCGTCGAGCTCGTCCAGCCGCCGCCGGACTGCCGCCACCAGCTCGGAGCTGAGCTCGTGGCGCGCCCGAATGCCGAGCCACGAGCAGAGCTCGCGGGCCAGCGCGTCGACGTGCTCGCTCACCTCGGACGCCACCGCCGCCATCGTCGACGACGCATCCAGCTGCGCCTCGTCGAGCCGCAGCCGAGTGTACAGCTCCCGGATGTGTGCCCGCGCCACAGAGACGAGCGACGCGAGTCGGATCCCCATCTCGGGACTCACACCACCCGCCCGTGACAAGTCCGCCAACACACTCACGTCTTCGATTCCGAGCTCCTGAACCACCATCGAAACCATGTCCAGCAGGGCGGCAAACGCCGCCGACGCAGACGGCGGCGATGCGTGCCGGATTGGCGACGGTGACCGCAGCCGCGCGCTCGACGCCAGCCGCGCCTCAAAGGCCGCGGTGGCATCGGCAAGCCTTGCCTCGTGCTTGGCCTGAACACTTGCCAGCTTTTCATCAAAGTGTCTCTTCAGCTCGGTCTCTCGTTTGCGGGCATCGTCGAGCTCACTCTCGCTCCGAGCAGCTCGCCGCTTTGCCACCGCGGCCTCGTCGAGCGCAGCCTCGGCCGCCGCAGCCGCCCGCCGCGCCTCGCGCCGCGCGGCGTCCAGGGCCTCGCGACTCTCCGCTAGCTGACCTGATGTCGCGTCCAGTCGTACCTGCAGTGTCTCAGCCTCAGTCTGTGTTGCTGCCAGCGACTGCACCCTGGTCTGCGACTTTGCAAACCGCGCCTCGAGCTCCTCGCGGTCGGCCTCGGCCTGTGCAACAAGCTCCGATAGCTCAACTTGCGACAGCGATGCCGCTCGTGCAGCTTCGCGCAGCTCGCGGGCCTCGGCCTGTGCGTCTGCCACTTGCATTTCCAGCAGTGACCTCTCCGACGCGAGCTCCCGCCGCAGCGCGTCGAGCTCATCACGCGCCGTTCGCGCGGCGGCCTCGGCCGACTCGCGGCTCTTCGCCAGCTCGCCCGTCAACTCGAGCTCACGCTCTCGAGCGGTGGCCAAGCCAGAACGAAGTGACGCAATCTCATCGTTGAGTGTCTGCACCGTCTTGTTCGACTCGCGCACGTACTCAGAATGCTTGGCCTCGAGCGCGTCGGCCACCCGCTCGACCTGCGCCACCCGCTCAATCGCCGATGCTTCGCCTGCTGCGGCTGCAGCAGCCTTGGCTTTGGCGTCAGCTGCTGTCACCTCTGCTGCTTCCGCCGCAGCCTTGAACTCTTCTGCCTCGCGTCTTGCCGCTGCTGCTTTCGTCTTGGCCTCGGCTGCTGCAACCTCGGCCTCTCGCGCTCGAGTGATCGCCTGCGTCTCGGCCGCGCGTGCCGCCTCGGCCTCGGCCACCGCCGCTTCGGCTCGGGTGCTTGCTGCCGCAGCGTCCGACTGTGCCGCCGCCGCCACCACTGCCTCACTCTGGGCAACCTCTTCTGCCGCGCTCGCGGCGTTCCGCGCCACAACGCCAGCCTCTTCGGCGGCAGTCGCCCGCGCCTCGGCTTCCGACGCCCGTGCCTCGGCTTTCGACGCCCGCGCCTCGGCTTCCGACGCCCGCGCCTCAGCTCCATCCGCCCGCGTCTCAGCTTCCGCTGCCCGCGTCTCGGCTTTTGCCGCTCGCTCCTCGGCCTCCGCCGACTCAGCCTCGGCATCTGCTGCTCTTGCCTCGGCATCTGCTGCTCTTGCCTCGGCTGCAGTAGCAGTCTGACGGGCAGCGGCAGCGTCTGCCAGCGCCGCATCAAGTCGCGAACCCGCAGCGTCGGCACGGCCGCCAGCGCCATCAGCCCGGCTCTCAGCAGCGCGCGCACGCTCTTCAGTCTCGGCCAGCACACGCTCGAGGTTAGCCAAGGCGCGCTCGCTGCTCTCAAGCGTCGCGTTGACACCGCGCAGCTCGCCCTCGAGCTCGCGGATGCGATCGTTGCTCGCAGCAGCAGCCTGCCGGGCATCGGCAGCCAGGCCTCGGGCCTCGGCCAGCGCTGCGTCGGCGGCATCGGCCCGGGCCTCGGCCTTGGCCAGTGCCGCCTTGAGCTCGGCCACAGCCTCGCCGGTCGACTGGACAATGCTCACTTTTTCCCGCGAAAAGTTCTGCTCCAACGCCGCGAGCTCCGAGTTGGCCTTTTCCAGCACCGAGGCTAGCCGCGACCGCTCCAACTGGCCATCGTCAACCCGCGTCTTGAACGCCGCCAGCTCAGATTGTGTAGTACCAAGCTCGATCCGCAGCTCGTCGACCTTGGCTTGCAGCACATCGGCACGGGCACCAGCCGCGCGCCGCTCCGCATCAGCCTCGGTCACGCTGGCGTCGAGGCGGTCGCGCTCGGCGCTCAGCGCCTTGACCTCGGCCGCAAGTACCGCATTGCTCGTCCGCGTCTCAGCAAGAGCGGCGTCGACCTCGGTCGTCTTTTGACGGCTCGACTCGAGCTCAGCTTGCGCCGCCGCAAGTGCGTCGCTGGCCTCGGCTCGAGCACGCTCCAAATCGGCAAGCTCGTCGGCGAGCTCGTCCGCGAGCGCAGCAGCACTAGCAGCAGCCGCCGCTGCTGTCGCGCGCTCGGTTGCAAGCATGCCGGCGAGCTCCTTGATGGCGGCTTCGGCCTCGGCCTCAGCTTGCCTCACCTCGTCGGCAACGTCGGCACGGAGCGCATGGAGTGCATGCTGGAGCGGCTCAACCTGCAGCTCCAGGACCGAGGCAGCAGCACGGGCGATGCTGCCGGAGGCACTACGAGCCGAGTCGAGCGCAGTCATGGCATCGACACGGAGCGAGAGCAGGATGCGTGGGAGGTCTTCGAGCGTCGTCAGCTCGCCGAGCTCGTCATCGGTATCAAGAATACTGACCAGTGCGTCGACATGCTCGGCACAGTCAGCCAGAACGGTCGACGTCCGGGCGCTGGACGAGTTAGCGGCGGCCTGGGTTTGGAACAGCGAGTCCTCGAGCGCAGCAGCGTGTGCGCTCAGGTGCTGGTTCTCGTCGCGGAGCTCGTCCAGTCCCTGCAGTGTGGCATCGAGCTTTGATCGTACTTCCTTGTGCTGCTTGTCGAGCGCGCCGTAGAGGTTGGCAAGCGAGTCATAGTCGTCTGCCAGCTTGGCGTGCGCGCTCTTGAGCTCGGCCACGCTGTCGCGGGCTTCGCGCAGCTCGCGGTTCCTGGCGTCCAGTTGCTCAGCGGCGTCGGCACGACTCGCGTTGGCGGCCTCGGCTGCGGCGTGCGCAGCGTCGACTGCAGCCGTGAGCTCGGAGATGCGGGCATCGGCTGCGGCGGTGGCAGCCTCGAGGGCGCATCGAGCATCGTCTTGGACCTGGGTCACCAGCGCAGTCGTCTCCTCAATGCACTTGGCCTCAAGCGACGAAAGCTTGGACTCGAGGCGAGCCTGGTGGTCAGCGCGGGAGATGAACTGGGTCGTCGAGAGCGCCGAGAGCGTTTGCGAGAGCGCAACAAGCTGTGCTTGCTGCTCGCGCTGGGCCGCGCTCAACTGCTGAGTTTCTGGTGCAGTGGCAGAGAGCGATGACTTGACAGAGTTGAGCTGCTCCAAAAGAAGGGTGTGCGACTCGGCAACTTGTCCGGTGAGGCGGGCCTCGAGCTGCGAGACGAGCATGGACTCGTTCGCGCCGGACCGGCTGCGTCGAGCTGGACCTGCAAATGCGAGTTGGTCGACTCGAGGTCAGCGATTCGGCGGTCTAGGAGCGCGATGCGATCGGTGAGCATCCGCGACGACTGCGCGCCGTCGAGCCGCGCCTCGTCGAGCCGCGCCTGCAACCGCGCGTTCTGTGCACGGAGCGCCGAGTTCGACTCTTCTTCCTCCTCCTCCAACCGGATCAGCTGGGCAATTTTGTCCCCGAGTGCAGTGTACTTTGTCTGCAGTGCAGCGTGCGCTCCACGGGTCTCGTTGAGTTCGGCCTCGAGTGCTGCGATGCGGGCGCCCATGGCTGCGGTCTGTGCCACGGAAACTGGCGATTCGGCTGGCATCGGCTTGCTAGACCTGCCAGCGGCGTCTTCTAACGGCGAACCAACCGACGCCAGCGTGGCCGAAACCAGTGACTGCAGCTCAAGAGCCTGGACCTGCGTCGGATTGAGCCCGAGGTCAAGGCCCGATGCAAACGAGGCCGATGCGCCGAGCGCACGCGCGCCAGTCGCCTTGAGCGCGCTCAGTACATGTCGGAGAGTCTCATGCATCTGCCCGTGCTCTGCACTCAGTGCCTCGAGCTGGGCCGTTGCCGCCGCCGCCGCGGCTGCCTTCTCGTGCAAGTCTGCGGCCGAGGCGGTGTGCTCTGCGCGGAGCTCCGCCAGCTCATGCATCAAACTCTGGATGTACATCTCCTTCTCCGAGACCAGAGCCGAGCGAACCGACTGGACGACATAATCAGCAATGTGGCGAGCAGACTCTGCGTCTCCACGCATAGCATCAGCAACGCCATCGGAAGCCACCGCCACGCACGTCCGCTCCACCACGTCGGCCAGGGCCTCCAGCCTGGAGGCGTACTGAGTCTTGAGCTGAGTAAACCGCTGCATAAACTGGTCAGGTCCCATACCCCCCCCCTCCGCGAGCCCACCTCTCTCCATCTCGGCCCGCTTTCTGTATGCCTCGTCGGTCGGGTGTTGCCCTTCCCCGCACTGTCGCTCCTGCTCGCTGCCAGCGGCGGTTTGGCCCCAGCTGGTCGAGCGCGCCAAACTTGCCGCACCCGACAGCCGATGACCAGCCATCGGCCGGGAGTGACTGACACCAGTGGGATGAGGGGGTGACGTAGAGGGAAAGTTGGGTAGAAAGGGGGGGGGGGGAGGGGAGGGGAGGAGGAGTGAGAGGGAGGGATCGATAGCGTGGAGAAGGTAGGTGATGATCAACGCTGTGGTCGATTGATCAAAGGAGCATGGTGACGCACACATGGGAGTAACCCAATGTCCGATCAGACAGCATACGAAAGATCAAAGTATGGTTTGATATACGCTCGAGAGCAAAGAGGGAGGAGAGCATGCGTGGCCAGCTTGCTAAAAGCCAACCATTGACTGACCTGCCCAGCACAAGGGCCGAAACCACCAGCCGACAGCCGACAGCCGACAGCCGACAGCCGACCAGCAACCAACGTGAGGCACGGGCAGTTACTCGTCCCGACTCAACACACATGGCACTCATTAGCAAGAGCCGAGGATGGACGGTCGAGTCTACAGAGTCCAATGCGGGTATGGTTGCAAAAGGGGGGGGGGGCT